TTGTGACCTTCTGATAAAGTCAATGGGGAAACCGGATTCATTTAACAACCATGTTACTAATTTAAGAACTGCAGTGATTCACTTAACAAATGTGGTGAGAAAGGTTGCAAAACTCACTTAATAAATTTCTCATTTAACATAAATTTGGGTCTCAATTGTGGTCGTAGGGTGAGGACTACCTGTACTTGTTCCCATTTCCACCAGCTTTTTGCTCTGTTCTGTCAAGATGGAGCCTTTGTATCTACAGGGTATGATTTTCAATTCAAAGAGCAGGCAAATGAGTACTAAAATGTGCAGGATCCTTAAAGGGCTTTAGCAGCATCTGCAGAGTGCATCATTTTGTGCCTAATTATAACCAAGGTATTAAAATTCCTTTGCAAACCTCTCTGCTGGCCTGCTCTATTTGTCTCTCTGTTTTATTCTCTGTTTTGTTCTCTGAAAAGAAGATTATTTTTACCCATCCAGATTATTGCCTTGAGCAGCTGGCCAAATCAGTTTCCCAGAGAGTGTTTCCAGCAATATGATTTTTCCCATTAAATGTGCTGCTGGGAAGCTGGGTAACTCCTAGAAGTGTCTCTGATGAAGTTTCTCAAGTGCCTGAAAGGCTAGCAAAGATCATTGGTTTATTTTATGAGGCTGTAACCTTATTTTCAGAGGTGTTTGGAAGCAGCAGGCCCTCCAAAGAACTCCAAAGCATGTACATTTGCACTTCCTACCTATTTTAGATGCAGCTCATAATGAGAAGATTGCTTTCAAAATTGTTCCAGTGGCACTTCTCAGCTTGGGGGACTTAGATTCTTCAGGTGCACTGGAAGTTTATGGTTCAAGAAAACCATAAAATATAGAAATACAAAGAAAAATGAAAATAAGGAAGGAAAAGCAGAAGGAGAGAACTAATTAAGGTGAGAAACAATCTACAACTAAGAAGAAGTTTCCTAACAGTCAGAACAATATTAACCAGTGGAACGTCTTGCCTCCAGAAGTTGTGGGTGCTCCATCACGAGGTTGAAGAAGAGATTAGACAACCATTTGTCCTGAATGGTAGAGGGTTTCCTGCTGGAGCGGGGGGCTGAACTAGAAAACCTCCAAGGTCCTTTTCAACTCTGTCATTCTGTATAGGGTAAAGGGAAAAAGTATTGACTTCCAATTCCTTTTGGCTCAGTAGATTAAGGTAATGAAATGCAACCTCAACGTTTTATTTTTACATGATAATATATACTAGCTATTTTTATAACAACAAACCTATTTCATCAGCAAAACCCAAAATCAAAGATTCATTTTTCCACTTCAAGTGCAAAATCCTAAATCAATTTCCAAATAGAAACAAAATTAATTGTATTCTTTTCTTTAACCAAAGCAGTCAATTTAGCCATCTCTGGTAACGCCATAATTTTTTGGAGCCATTTGTCCATTGTGGGAATCAAAGTATCCTTCCAGCATTGAAAGCTTACCTACCCCAGATCCATTTCCTTCTATTATTGCTCCCTCCCGTTACCCTAGATTGAGAAAATGGAAAGAACCCAGTATTTCTAAACCCATCCAATCTTTTTTCCTTTTGGTGAAAAGGAACTTACAGGGTGGTCAGTAATTTATTTTCCTTTTAGTAAGAACAGTGTCCGGAAATGTAGAGGTCTGACTTTGTGGTGCCTCTCATTACTCAGAGATAAATCTTGTGACACTCCTGAAAAATGCCAGATGGGGGAAATAGGGCAGGATGGGAAGATGGCTTAATAGTGAGCTGGAATGCAGACACATGCATATTTCAAAAATAAAGCCAGGATACCTGTGTTAGGAGTTTAGTTGAACAGCTGCCCTCTGTCTCTTGGCTAGTGCCTAGGTCTTTTTTCCCTTGCACCAAGAAAAGTTACAGGACAGTTCTTGCAAGCAAGGTCCTGACACAGCTTGAGGGTTAGTTTTTAGCTATCCTGGCTAGTGGGAGATGCAAAGATTGCAGAAAGGGCTCCTGATCTCCAATCCATAGGAGCTGCTGTGATGTTGCATTGTAGTCAGAATGGGTTCATTATTCATTACTCTACATAAGAGCAAAAGGTTTTGGATTGGTGAGGGTTAAAAATGTGAATGGCGGTTTAAATGCCATTTTCTTGAGAGAGCTGGCTCTGATGAAGGTGAACAGCCCAGTGCTGTAGTTTGGTCAGATTACTTCTTAAAAGAGGCAAAAAGTTGAAAGTTCTCGCACTTATGCTGAAGCTTTAACAGTATTTGGTGACACTGGGAGTAATTGGAAGAAGGATCTTGGCTAAAATAAAATGAAATGTCAGAACAGGAATGATTGACTGGATTATGATTGTCTGGATTAGACTCCAAAGCTAATAAAGTCCTAAATTTATACCCATATTTGAGCCAGGAATTAGTATCATTGCGGTTGATGACGAAACCCAACTTTACAATACTTTTTGTGGTAGTCATTAAAGGAACGCTGTAGACATTAAGTGAATTCATCATAACCAATGAGTGTTTTGGATCAGAAACTGAAAGTAAATCCTGGAAATCAACCAAAACATTGAAAATTGCAGTCATGTGCCTGCAGAATGCTGCAAATGGCAATAAAAATTAGTTGGTTGCCAAGCACCCAAAATGCAAGCACATAAGTGTAATATGGCCATTGTAACTTCAAAATTGAACTATAAATACTTTTTGGGGGAAGGGGTCCACCATAACTTTTAAACAGTTGCTAAGTTAACCGTTGTAAGTCAAGGACTACCTAGAGTGGGATGAGCAATCGTGGACCAGTGGAGTGCAACTCCTTTTCTTATGTCCTTGGTTGCCATTTAATTGCAGTATATTTATATATTGTATTGTTTATTGTTACTTTATATGGGGTTTTTCTTCAATATATTGTTTGTTTTCACGCCATATGCTGCCCAAAGTTACACTAGTTGAGTAGGTGGCCTTATACATGTTATAAATAAGAAAAAAAAATATCCCAGGGAGGAAAAAAACCTAGCCTAGTTTGTTCCTTGCATTTAAAAGATCTCTTTTACACGGCTAGTTAAAGGTGATGTCTAGTAGGGGTTGGAGAAGAGCAACTGATGAGTAATTTTCAACCTCTCTGGAAGTTGAGTTACAGCAACTCGATTTCTTTTCTTGCTTGTTCAAAATGTTTCTCTGCTTATCCAGGTAGCTTCTTCGGTTTGAGCAAGTTGGTTAGGGGAACTCCATCTGTGCTCTTCAAAGATTGGACAACCATTTGACCAGGATGCTAAAAGACCTTTGAGGTTTCTTCCAGCCCTGTGATTCTATGTTCTATGAAGTGGGCTCAGTAAAAAGCTGAGTGGGTGGTCTTAAAAGTCATTATGTGAATTGATATAAAAAGTTGGAAGGAGCATCTTAACTATGTGTATGGGAAAGAAACTGCTGTGTAAAAGATGGGAATGAAGGGAATGACTGGGCTTGAGAGTATACTTCTGCTTGTTTTGTTATATGGATGTCTTACATTTGTATGTAAGAAAACATAAAAATAAGTGGAATGCACTGAAGAAAAGTGTAATACATCACAAAGAAAGAAGGTCAAAAATGATAGTTCCTCAGTAAGACCACACTTGAAATATTGCATCTATTTTGATCACCCCAATATAAAAAAAAGTTGAGACTCTGGAGAGAGTGCAGAAAAGAGCAACAAGGATGAGGCTGGAGGCTAAAAAGAATATAATGAACAGTTGCAGGAACTGGGTATATCTAGTCTAGTGAAAAAAAAGGAGTAGGGGAGATACGATGGCAGTGTTCCAATACTTGTGGGGTTGCCACAGAGAAGAGGGGGTTTACTTATTCTCCAAAGCACCAGAAGACAGGACAGGAAAGAATGGATGGATACTAATCAAGGAGAGAAGCAATCTAGAACTAAGGAGAAATTTCCTAATAGTGAGAACAATTAACCAGTGGAATGTCTTGCCTTTAGACGTTATGGTGCTTTATCACTAGAGGCTTTTAAGAAGAGACCGAGCAATCATTTGTCTAAAATGATATAGGGTTGGGATGGTGAACATATGGCACGCGTGACACAGGTGGCATGCGGAGCCATTTGTCAGGGCACGCGAGGCGTTGCCCTGTCAGCTGGCACGCTGAGTTCAGCTTTTTTAAAGCCATTTTTTGCCATCCCCAGGCTCCAGAGGCTTTATAGGTCACTTCCGGGTTGCTCGTAGGGCCAATTTTAGCCCTCCGAAGCGTTCAGGGATCTTCAGGAGACTTCTCTGAAGGCTCCAGATGACAAAAAAAGATCCTACGAGCAAACCAGAAGTCAAACCGGTTTGCTCATAGGGCCTTTTTTTGGTCCTCCGGAGCCTTCAGGGAAGCCTCCTAAGGGCTCTAATTTGCTGGTTTCTCAAGCACCATCGGCAAAAGTCAGGTACTCCAAAGTGGATTATGAAGATGAGCCCTTTGAATGAAGGAGACAGGATACCTTTGATTGTGTGCTTAGGTGCATACTGTTGTATCATAAGTACTCGTTCTGGATTTTATTCCTGCAGCTTTTCTGATTGAATTCATTTTAATTGAGGCAAAATGAGGAGCCTTATAATTATTTTAGACAAAAAGTCATTATTCTTGCAAATCCCACTGTCCTTTTGACCCCTGATTTTCATCCGTACAAGCAGAACTCCTTGTTCTCAAGTTGAATAGCTGAACCTTATGCCAGAAACTTGTAATGGGGTACATGATATCTAATTTATGATCATATTCACCTAGAAGCGATTTTTCTTCCTAATGGACAACCCAGAGTGCAAAGATTACAATTTTGACATAATTGGCTTCCTATTGCATCATGATGAGGCTCTGGGCTAATTAGAAGGATACCTTTTCCCATCTGTTCAGTAATTACTCACTTCCTTGCTGGTACAAAGGTGGAGAGCTGAACAGCGGGCACTTTGAGTGATGCAAATGCTTTCCTTGTGCAGTGACTGATCTGGTGCATTCTGCCTCTTTTAGACATGTTCTAATAAGTTTCTTTCTTTCTGGTTTCTTTTTTTCCCCTCTCTGCCCTACAGGTAGAAAATGTCAAGCTGCTAGATCGTTATACCAACAAGAAAGCAGCAAATGGGACACTGTATTTGACGGCTACTCATCTGATCTATGTAGATACCTCAACTGACATTCGAAAAGAGACATGGGTAAGGTTGGAATATGGCCATTTTCTAGATCCCTGAGAACCAAAGAGTTCTCAGGGACTCCTGAACACTAAGCTTGTTTCCACTTTTCTAGTACAGGCAGTCCTCGACTTACAGTTGGCCCCTTAGCAACAGTTAAATTGTTAAGTTACAAGAGGCCCTCCCGAAAAGGAGGAGTACAGGTAGTCCTCGACTTACAGCTGGCCCCTTAGCAACAGTTAAGTTGCTAAGTTACAAGAGGCCCTCCCGAAAAGGAAGAGTACAGGTAGTCCTCGACGTACAACAGTTCATTTAGTGGCAGTTCAAAGCTACAATGGCACTGAAAAAGTGACTTATGACCATTTTTAATATTTACGATTGCACTGCAGCATCCCCATGGTCACATGATCAAAATTCAGATTCTTGGCAACTGGTTCATATGACGGTTGCAGTGTCCCAGGGTCACGTGATCAGCTTTTGTGACCTCCTGACAAGCAAAATCAATGGGGAAGCCAGATTCACTTAACAACCATGTTACTAACTTAAAAAAATGGAATGATTCACTTAACAAATGTAGCAAAAAAGTCATAAAATAGAGCAAACCCATTTAAATGATTCATTTAGCAACATAAATTTTGGGCTTAATTGTGGTTGTAACTTATGTACTTATGTCTCAATTCTGAAGTTCTGACAGCTGTCTCCCCACCTGGCCCATATTTATGGTTGAGGCCATGTGATCATGATTTACAATGTTTTTGCTGAAAACTGATGTTTACTTCCGGTTTTTGCAAAAATACCCCATAGCAAACTGTTCTGACCCCCTCCTCCGTCCAGTAACGAATGCCGAGACAAGCTTAACTGGAATGTCACAGCACTTTATTAGCA